ACATCTTCAATGAAGTCCAAACATCTTCAAGTTGCCAAGGTTGAGAAACACTGGTTTAAGTAACTACTTTCCAATTATTAGATGAAAAAAACCCTTGTTCTGCAGACTTAAGAGTAAGCAAGAGTAGGGAAAGAGCTTGTTCTCCAAATATGTTGCCTTGAATCCTGAGCAGTTTTAAAACTCCATGCTGCTTATCAGCCATGTACATAACAGAAGACTTGAAGGTCTTCTAGTCCAACCTCCTGCTCAGATGGGAAGCCCTACACCATTTCAGACAAATGGTTATCCAATCTCTTCTTTAAATCTTCCAGTGTTGGAACATTTACAACTCCTGGAAACAAGTTGTTCCACTGATTAATAGTTCTCACTGTCAGCAAATTTCTCCTTAGTTCTAAGTTGCTTCTCTCCTTGATCAGTTTCCATCCACTGCTTCTTGTCATGCCTTCCAATGCTTTGGAGAATAGGTTGAACCCCCCCCCCCACTCTCTTCTTTGTGGCAGCATCTCATATATTGGAACACTGTATCATATCACCCCAGTCCTTCTTTTTATTAAACAAGATATATGCAAATCCTGCAACCATTCTTCATATGTTTTAGCTCCCACTCCCCTAATCATCTTTGTTTCTCTTCTTTACACTGTTTCTAGAGTCTCAGTGTCTTTTTTATATTGTGGTGACCAAAATTGGATGCAATATTCCAAGTGTGGTCTTACCAAAGGCATTATAAAGTGATATCAACACTTCATGTGATCTTGATTCTATGCCTCAGCCATGGATCGTGTTGCCTTTTTTGGCAGCTGCAGCACACTGCTGGCTCATATTTAAGCAATTATCCACTAGGACTCAAAGATCCCTCTCACAGTTACTATCGGGTACCACCTATTCTATACCTATGAATTTGGGGGGAGGTGGTTGCCTAAATGTAGAACTTTAGTTTTTTCATCATTGGATTTCATTTTGTTAGGTAGGGCCAGTGTTCAAGCTGTCACAAACCTTCTGTAGCTTGAGCCTATATTCTGGAGTATTGGCTTTTCCTGTCAGTTTGGGGTTGGCTGCAAATTTAATTAGTTCCCCTTCTACCCACTTGTCTAAATGATTGATGAAGATAATGAAGAGTAGTCGGCCTAAGACAGAGACTTGAAGGTTCCACCACAAATCCGCGGTAGACTAAAGCGCGGTTGATGAAAGCGCGTACGTGATGTCATCACAGCGTGACGAAAACGGCACACTGTGAGTGGTAAATTTAAAATGAACGCGAAAACCTTACCCTAACCCCCCAAACCTAACCCTAAACCTAACCCTAANGCAGTAGACTTATATACCGCTTCATAGGCCTTTCAGGCCTCTCTAAGCGGTTTACAGAGAGTCAGCATATTGCCCCCAACAATCTGGGTCCTTTATACAGTATATGGTAATTTTTCACATGTACTGTCTGACTTTTAATTTACATAGTAGTAGATTTTTATTTGTATTTTTTCTATTTCTTCAACTTTTTCCCCATGTATGTTTTGGAATTATGTTAATACAGCTACCTGATATTGTAAAAGAGAAAATAGATAAGATCTCCTTTAAAACCAGTAAAGTAAAATGAGATTTTGGTAACTCTTTATCACAGTGGCAAAAAAAGAGGAAGTAGTGCCATCAGAAGGCTAATATTATTAAATATGACTGTCTGTTCTTTGTTTTCCATTCTTCCTCTAAAAGCATGATTTTGCATGGTTCCATTTTTTATACATGATGGAAATGGTTAAACTTATAACCATTTTATAGTTATAATTTTGTTTTTGTTTTATTAAGCTATGCAGAAAGTGAGAAAGGGAGGAACAGAACGATGTTGAAAAAAAAAGAAGAAAAACAGACAGCCTGGAAGAAAGTGAAAATGTGGTTTGTTTGAGTTTTCAGATGGGGTGATGAGCAGAAGATGGCAAAATAAGGAGGACAATGGGAGAAATAGATTGTCTATTACAGTGTTGGTTAACTTTTTTCTAAACATACGCCAAAACTACGTGTGCGTATGCTATTGTGCATGCCTGCATGCCCACCCATCTGTACATGCTCAAGTGACCCACCCAATGGCACATGCACAAGCGATCCCCGCATGTGCTCGGGGGGGATGACGAGGATGGGTTTTTGTCCTCCTCAGGCTCCGGAGGCTTTCCTAAAGCTTGGGGATGGCGAAAATGGCCTCCTGCGGCCCCCTGGAAGGCCAAAACCCAGCTGGCCAGTGTGCGCATGTGCACTGGAGCTAAGGACTCCCAAGGGCTGCTATGACTCTGAGTGCCACTTGTGGCACGCATAGGTTAGCCATCATGGGTCTATTATAAGAAATAAGGTTGTCGAATCTGGACTGCAAAAGTCTAGATGGCTATGGGTTTCTTTCCTGCCATATTTTATAGTCACCCAGATTTGTTACAGTCTCTATAAAAATAGCCATGCCAAGAGAAATGACGGAAGTCTGGGGAGCAGTCTTATGTAAGGGGATGGAGATGGAATTCCAACTCTTGACTGTCACACCAGAGAAAGTCATCTAATCAACATGGAATGGAGTTTCAAGGTTGAAAAAAAAAGAGAGGAGACAACTCATTGATTTGAAAAGATAGGAAGAAGAGACCTCGGATTTGAGCCTGAGCCTGATCTATACAAGGCAGGTTTCTTATGTGTTGCTATGGGAAGAACTTCTCCATATCCATAATTTTCTAATTATTTACAATAAAATTACTCAGTCTTCCTGGCAATATGAATGAGAAGATAGATTAAGCCATTGATGGAACTTCTCAACTCAATGGAATGAAAAAAAACCAAATTAACCAGCAGAATGAGATGGTTCATCAGATGGGAAGGCCTTGCATTTTCTCAATGAGTAAATTATATTAAAAATCACTTATGAAACCTCTAGAAGAGTAAAACAACACAGAAAGGACACAGAAAGTTTTATTACAATATTTTATTATGTGTCTCTGTAAAGAAAAGACCAACAACTGTATAAAAGCTTACAAAGATGGTTAACCTCCAACACTATACATGTGTGAATGTGACAAGAGAAACTCATGATTCTGCATCTTTATTGACTTTTACAGAGTGAAGGAAGAACAGCCCTTCAGAAATGGCCTACCAACCATATGACATCCAACAAGAGACATTTATGACTGTTGTCAAGTTTTGGTGTTTCTAGGCAAGTCAATAAAACCTGGCTTGCAGATTTATAAGGGAAAACATACACAACTAGCACCATCATATTTATCTTTTTTACACTTCCCAAATTGTAGTGGTTGACCAGCAATGACAGGAAAGTTTTGGAGCACCCTTAAAACATAAATGCAGTCCAGAAATAAAATAACACAAGTCTGTTGGTATTAGGGCATTCTTTTCTTCTGATGGACTATACTCTGTTCAGCTCAATCTGGCACAGGTACAAACTAACAAACAAAAAAGACCAGATGTATTCCTTGGTCCCAACACATTTTTCTTTCTGCTTTCTTGATGGGAATCATCAAATCTATCCCGGTTTCTGTCCATGTTGAGGTAGTTGAAACAGGGAATTCTCTCTAGCTTTATGAACTGCATCTTATAATGGAAAGTAAACTTGGATGCTGGAATCCTTTAGTGCTTGATTGATTGAACAAGCATTCAACTAAAATTACAGTTTTGAGTTACTGAGTGTTGAAGTTGCAATGTAGCACCATGAGAGTATTGTTGAACATGGGAGTTTGGTGAAAGGAAAAAAGAGCAAAAGACATTTTTGTTGTATTCTGTGTGAGAGCAAAATAAGAAAATGGTAACCCTTTATGTGAATTTATCTTGGTTTTTTTTCTCCCCCCCCTCTTTCCAGAATTTTTTTGCAAATAAATAACTGGGGTACTGTTGATTTGACTCTAATAGTTGCCAAAGTTAAAACAAGAGCAAAGATGGAGTGTGAATTTGCTTTCTAGGGTTCAGAATGAGCATTACTCGTGATTTATAAGAAGCAAACTGGGCCAACGTCCACACCAAATTCTTGATTGGAAGCGCCAATGTCGAAAGGTGCAATATCTATCACCGGCAACCTCATCGGCTTGCGTGTTCTGTATTCAAAGACGGTTTTACCCCATTCGTCAGTATGTTTCTGTGAAATGTAAAAAAATGACAGCTATGTTAAAATATACTCAGGCAGAGCCATTATACTTGCTCTTCTGCATCACCTGATTTCAGAACTTCCAAGAAACCCAGTAACTTTCAACCAAAGGAAATGAAGAAAGAATAATATTGATATCGCACATCCCCACCCATTTGATAGATTTAAAAATGGAATGTTCTGAAGGATCTCCTTTCACTGATGTGGACAGAGAAGAGTAAATCATTGTCAGCTACTTCTTGCAGATGCTATATTAAAATATTACTTTGCTGTTCCAATTCTGATACTTCAATTTTTCCTGCTCTAAAGAATTTCATGAAATTCTTTTTTTTATACTTTTTATAGATTAGATCCAGGTAAAGATAAGTAATCTAAATGAGTCATGGAAATGTATTGTTCCCATTGATTTCAGTGGGACCCAAATACATGGACATCTGTAGCCATCATATCTTTCTAACCAATCTTGCATCCTCTTGAGATAGGTGGCAGAGTCCTAAACAGTACATAAATGTAGTTCTTTGACATTCAAATCAACAGAAATGCACTGAAGTTTAATATGAAGATGCAGCCATTTGAAAATTCTATTTTTTACAATTGTTTTGTATGTTAAGTATTCATGTTTCACTTTCTGTAATGACCAAAAATACTGAATGTCTCTATCCCTCTTTAAAATAAATGCAATGGAGGCATTTTGTTTACTTACAGTACAGCCATCTTCCAGAACTGTGTATGTGAATTTGTTGTTTCCTTCTGCCTTGATTTCACTATCAGTAGAACTCATGAACTTGAGTGCTCTCTTCACATTCCCACTGGCTTCGTCCATATAGGCAATGCTGTTTTTGCAGTGGTAGGTGATGTTTTGGGAGGCTCGGCTGGAAAGGATTCTGAGGAATGCCAGCTGAACATCTGCAACTTCTTCAGGAAGATCTGGATCTCCATAGCTGAACTGTGGTGAAAACACAAAAGGGTCGGTGGCTGTTTGACACAGGTCTTTCATTCAGTTCTGCTTCTTGCTTATGAGTTTGAAAACTGTAAACACTTTCATCAAGTATCAAACAATGCAGTGTTTACCTGGAAGCCTCCGTTCATAGTCTCTCCAAACCAAATGTGCTTCTTTTCGGGACCAAGGCTTGTCCACCAGTTCTTCTTTGGGATACTTGAGGGATTGGCACTGAGGCATGTTTCCCCAGTCTCCATGTTGCAGAATACTTTGATGGCATCCAGTTTGCAACCTTGGTTAGGATCGATCCAGTATTCTCCTACCAAAAGCAAAGCAAAGCAAGCAAATGAGCAAGCAAATAAAAAACATTCTTTAGTTCATCTGGATGATGACAGACTCCACTTAAATGGTCACCATTTTGGGAATAAGCTAATAATGCATACTCGACTCTTTGCATGTCATTTTAAAACTATCTGCATAAACATATTTCTTTAGCATTTTAAAGTAAAAATTAAGTAAATAGTAACTCCCAAAGACATTTTCTTTCTTTTTTTTGTTTACATTTTCAGACAATAGTCAACATTTTTTTCTGTAGGCAGAAGAGTTTTATCATATTTTTGCCAATAGTTAAAGAACATGTGACTTTATATTGCAAATATATATATTTGCATTACTGGGAAAAAAAAAGAATCCTATTTCTTGAGGATCCCATATTGCTCAAACTCATGGCCTGGGGGCAGAATCCGGCCCATGGTGTGCTTAGTTCTGATCTGCTGGCCCATCCTAGAAACAGCCTGTTTTCGCTGGCAGAGCTCTCAGGTCACCACAGGCACCCCTGACATGAGTGACATATAGCTGGCTCCTCCCACATCACCTCCCGAGGTCAAATACAACACTGATGTGGCCCTCAATGAAATCGAGTTTGACACCCCTGCTGTATTGCTTGCTAACACAGATAAGAAAGGAATGGAACATACCGCTTGGAAGTTCAGGATGGCAGAACTTGAGATCTCTGCAGTTACGGCCAGGATTCTTCCGTGAACCATCAGGGCTAATGATGTTTTCAATCTGGCTGTTGACTGATTTCAGTGAAGCTAAAATCTCTCCCATGTCAATTTTGCCCTCGGATGTCTGATCGCCATAGTAGCCCATGTCATCAACACCACCACCTTTGCGACCATTACCATTACCACCGCAGCATGGACCAGGTGATCCAGGTTGACCAGGAGGACCAGGAGGCCCACTGTGACCGGGTGGACCCTTTCAAATACAACAAGTAAAATTGCCCATCAAAACTCCATCCATGGGGATGCATTAAGAGAAATAATGTTCACATGTTATACACATGTTTATATTTCCCCACCAACCTCCCCCCCCTAATATATATTAGATCCCATACTGATGTTACTGGTTTTTTCTCATGTTCATTGTAAGCCAATTAAAGGTTTCCCCTGTCTGGTTGTATCCAACTCAAGAGGGCAGTGCTCATCTCTGATTCTCAGCCTAGAGACCCAGTGTTGGCTAAGAGATGTGTCCGTATTGTGTGGCCAGCATGAAAATATGGAATGCAGGAGCCTTTCTTGCCAAAGCAGTACCTATTTATCTACTCCCATCTACATGCTTTTGAGCTGTTAGCTTAGCAGGAACTGGGGTGAATAATGGGAGCTCAACCTGTTACGCGGAGCTCAGATCTCACATCTCAAACCTGGACTCAAACCTGGGCTGTTGCCTTTTCAGTGACAAGATCAGTGTCTTAACCACTGAACCATCACACTCCTACCATGTAAGATGATACATATGTATTAATCAGAGATTTTGATTGCTCCTTCTTTTAACATAAAGATGTGTAACTGTATATGCAGGTATGTAACTTGCTCAGTTTTGTCTACTGGAAATGACCAGCATTTAGGATAATAATAGTTATTCTATTCACAAACAAGGTGCGTTAATCAACAATGCATTGCTATTTAAACTTGAAGACAAGGTGAATGATGAGTCTAAATCAAGTACAATGGAGCCTAATGGAGAGAGATCTATACCAAAATCTATGTGCCTCAATGACCATTAGAATTTGTGCAAAGAAGGGAATTGTTTGGATATTCTAACACTTATATGTTGGTCACATGGGTTTGTGTATATTTTACAAAATATTTAGATTAAAATTTTATTGGCATTTTTCCGGTACAGGTTTTCTTATAACCATAATGGAGTCTGCCATGATGGCAGTGATACAACAGGTCAGTCATGTGACTGACTGGATTTTATTCCTTTTTTGCAGGACTTTGTTAAATGAAAGCCACACTCATTAAAGTCATGGCTTGCAATTTTCTGAAAACTGGCAGTGCTGGATTTTTGATCAAACCATTGTAAAATGCGGTCACATGACTATGGGGTATTGCAAATGGCTGTAAACATGACTGTGTTGCCTCAGAGTCCCTTGTTTACATGATCGTGAAGTGGGCCTGACCATTGGACCTCAAATCTAGAAAGAAAGTCCTCTTTTTTGGGTTGGTTGTAATGACAGATTGGTCACTTAGATCACTGGTTCCCAAACTTGGCAACTTTAAGACTTGTGGACTTCAACTGCCAGAATTCTCCAGCCACCAATTCTCCAGAGCTGGCTGGAGAATTCTGGGAGTTGAAGTCCACAAGTCTTAAAGTTGCCAGGTTTGGGAACCACTGACTTAGATCAATCACTCAATAATCTAAGTGACCAGTCAAGTACTATCTTTATATGGGGGCAGGTGCTAAGTGTGCATGCCATGTGTGCCAGGTAGATTGTGGCAAATTTTATTGGAGTATTTTTATGCAGATCCTTTGAAGCATAACCTTGAACTTCTGGGGAGTAGGCAGCATGTGAGTAATTTGCTTCTCCTGTCCTGTGTTAATCTTCCTGACATTCCTGTCATGTCGATGCATGGACATCTTCCTTCATAAAATGCAAGATGGAAACTTCAGAGTGGAAACTTGGTTTATCTTACCGCTTGTCCACTTTCACCTCTGTTCCCACGAGGACCTGGAGGACCAATGGGGCCTGCATAACCAACTCTTCCATCTTTGCCAGGTGGCCCGCTTGGTCCAGGAGGCCCCTAAAGCACACCAGAAATCAGATATTTGTGTTATTCACGTGTTGTAAGGTATTAGTATGAAGTGACATCATATCTCTTTAAATAGCTAGATATAATTTAAACATGGATTAAGAAGCTACAGAAGATACTTACTCTAGCACCTGAAGCTCCTGGACTTCCACTTTGACCTGGGGGACCCAGTGGACCCTACAAAGGTAAGAATGAAATAGAGATTGTATATACTGACACCGGCTTGGCTGTCTGCCATGACTAAGGAGAGAGATAAGGAACCCATTGGCTAGGAGCCCAGAAAATTATCTCTATGAAAACAAGACTTGAACTCACAAAATTCTCCAAACTTTCACTACACCTGCATTAATAAACTGTTGTGTCCTGCAAAATTCCCCTCCTATCACCCCACCTATAAGCTCTCCAGGAGGGGCCAATCAGTAGCCACCTGTTCCTATTTCCTTCTGTGAGCCTTTTTCCAAAGCTGCTCCCTCCTCCTATCAGCTCTATGCATACGCACCTCAGGGACAGCCTCTCTCTGTTCTTCCTCACTGCTCCCTGACTCAGATGCCACCTGGTGGCCAACAGCCCCCTCTAGTCCCTGCTCTGACTCCGAACACCGTCCAGAGTCTTCCTCAGCCTCCAGGGCAGTCCCATTGTCTTCATCACTGTCAGATTCCATCAACAGCTCAGCTGGCCATTGTTGGGCCACAACATACATACATACATACATACATACATACATACATACATACATACATACATACATACATACATACATACATATATATAGAGAGAAACAAAATAGAGACA